AGGGGAATATGAAAATATCTAAGATGTGAACCTGAAATGTGTTGCATCAGTAAAGCTGAGTACTACACAGCAGGATTCCTGGGCCATGTCTGAAAGAATCTAAGGTAGGGGAGGGACTATAGTTTGCCCAAGAGCCAAGGTGCAGCTGGGTCAGCAGGGAAGACTTAGCAGGCTGTGTTAGGCTGAGAGGGATTAATGACTGCAAGATGTAGTTTTCCTGGTGTGGGACAGCAGAACCATGCAGATCGGAGGTCAAAAAAGGCCAAAGAGAAGCAGAAGCAAAATGGATGCAGATCAAAGCCTCTCTTCCCCAGTGATAAGGGGCCTTGTAAGTCACAAAAGCAAAAAAAAAAAAAAAAAAAAGATTAAAATATGAAGGACTGGGCTTTTACCTAAAGAGAAAGATCAAAGGGTTTATTTAAATTCTGATGGCTCTAAGTCCAAAGCTGTTCTTCAAAAGAAAGTCATGCTTCACAAGTCTATGTGATATGTAATTATGTCTCAACATAAGTCCCCAATAATATGACAATTAAAGATACCTTGTCATTAAATTTTCTTCTGAAAATATGAGAGAAACATGCAGAATATTTATATATCATTTGCCATGAATGTGCAAGGAGTAAATAAAAAATCTTGTCGGATGGGCAAAAATCCCTAGTTAAACAAATAAACAAACAATAAACAAACAAACAAAACCCCTATATATAGTTTTTGTCATTCTGAAAATGCTTTTCTCTCTAGTTGGTTTGTTGAGATGAGTAGAAGCTCTAGTATAATATTATAATTATCCCTTATATTTTATAACACTTAGTTCTAAATCCGTGCTACCATCAAATCCTTCATGAAATATGTTAGTAAAAAGAAATTATGTTTATTTATTTTTTGTTTAAGATTTTTTTATTTGAGAGAGAGAGAAAGAGAACACAAGTGGGGAGTGAGGAGGCGCAGATGAGAGGGAGAAGCAGACTCCCTGCTGAGCAAGGAGCCCAATGAGGGGTTCCATCCCAGGACCAACCTTCAACAGAAGTTAGTTGATTTTCCAATGGCATGCATCCCAGACTCCAAAACTTTCTCTGTATACTAGGCACCATGTTACCTTACATGTTGTAAACAGAAGAACCTAGTATGCACCCAGTGAAGAAATACAAAGATGAAATATTAAAATATTAAGAAAAATATTCAAGCATAATTTAAAATAAATGATGAATCCCATTCCTTCATGATTCTTGGGAGATTTGATTCCCTGTTGGCATTGGGGAATGGGCCAAAATTATGTCTTTGATGAGCTTAGTTACGATTTGCAAGAGAATAAGATAGTAGCTGTAGATAGTCTGAATGATTTGATGCTAGAAATAATTAAACCATAGGGTTTTGGTCCCTATATGACAACTATGTTATAAACTCTTCAGGTTTTTCTAGCCATACTGTTATTAGGAAATCACACTACTTTCAAAGGTAGGATTTGATATTGTAAAAATACATTTTGGGATGTAGAAATAAATACTTTAATGGATAAAAATAAAATTATGGACTGATGAATTAGTAAATATCTTGATTTAAATTCTAATGATCTAAAAGTAGAAGTATTTATAAATGTTCAATAGACCAGAGAGAAAATTCATTCCACATATAATGATTGACTGTCTCCATTTGGGAAAGCATTGTTCTAGGTGGCTGTGAGTCTGTAACTAATGATTAGATGAACTCTAGTCCTTGAGATTAACACTTTGATGTTGAGTGTTATTTTATACTAGACCTGGATTTTTCACCCAATATAATACAGGCTAGAACTTATTGAATGCTTGCTACATGTCAGATATATTTGAGGTTTTACCTGAATTAAATCCCTCATATGAAGGAGTTGCTATGAGAATCAAATTCTATGCATGAGAAAAATTAGTCACAGAGAGATGAGTAACTTGGGCAAACTCCATAGCTAGGAATTAGATATGGGGGTTTTCTGACAAGGAGGTCCCACTGAAGACTCCCAGTATCTGTTCACATTGAGGACACGCAAAACCTAGCCATGTATATTGTCTCTTAATTCATGAAGAAAATTAGGGAGTGGTGTTAAATAATCTTTCGAGTTCCTTCCAAGTTAATGATGCTACTCTTTCTGACTACAAGCATCCTATTGTATAATGCTCTATACCCCTTCATAGAAAATCAGCCACTCTTAGGTTTATGATCTACATTAATTATTTAAATTGAATTTAAATAAAAATAAAGTTAATTAAAAATGCATTTCATGCAGATTCCTTCACTAAATGCTTTTCCACTTCAGACTGAATGATGACCACCTATCAGGAGACATCAGCTTTCTTAAAATAAAGACCAACCTTCTAAATTCTTTGGGTGCTTGCATAGGGCCAGCAAGCATCTACTTGAGAGAGTCTCAGGTGTCCCCTCTCAAGAGTGCAGAGACTCAGGTGTCCCAAGAGTTACTTCTGTTTTCCTACAAATGCCTCTCTCTGAGTTTTCTTCATTCGAATCATATAGCATGTTGTGTTTTGTTTCTCTACAGAAAAGTTATTGTCATAAAGTATTCAGTCAAATTATCTGAAATGTTCAAGCTTGCATTACATACATCATTAACCCACAGTAACAGAGACATTATCTTGACACATGATTTATGTGTCAGTAAGTAGATATTTATTAAAAACTACCATACCCCCCCCAAAAAAACAAAAAATTACCATCCCAATATCAAAGACTACATTCCTATTATGATAATTACTCTAATCTTAAGAACTTAGAAGCATACAAAATAATTATGGTTACATTGATTTAGGTGATTTGTCCTGCATTTTATTATCCTGATCAATAAGTTCTAAGTCCACATGTGCAATGGTATAGTGCAATGGACAAGAATGTCAGAGGCATTTACAAGGTGCCTTACAAAGTAATCCCTTTGTCTGTCCTTGGCCTTGTAGCTATTAGTAAGAGGCAGTGTGTGTTATTGAAGGACAGTGTAGGTTTCCCATGATGGTCTTTATGGTACTTTTATCCTGAAAAATGGGAGGAGATGCACGCGAGGGTATCTTATATCTTGTTCAGTTGTATAATTAGTATGAATATTATACCAGTAATATCATTTCCATGTTCTGTAAAACTTAAATAGAATTTGTTATAGAATTTTTCTTAATTTTTACAAGCGTTAAAAGGTGGCAGAGTGACAATAAGGTTATTATAAAGTAAGAATATCTTTGTTAATCTTTTCTTTACTGTCTCCTTCCCTACACCAGGGAACATTTTAATATGTTTTCCCTAATCACTCCTCCAATGAATACTCAGTGTCACCAATATATATGTGTGTTTATATCTTATATGCATACATATATATAGTTTATGTACTGTACACGTATTTTTTCTTATACCAAATATATAATTGATTTTTATGTACCATGAACGAATTTTTGGCCCTGATATTTGGCATTAATACACAAGGCAAAGGAGATCCTAGGCTAAGCCTTAAAAGTTAAGTAGGATTTGGTGATATGAGGGCCTTCTGAGTAGAGGAGACACAAAGAGAAAGGACATGCGTTGCAGGGTTAGGGAACAAACGGCTTGACTTGGTCTTGAGTTCAGAGGGGCAGGAGGACAAGTTCTGCAGGGATGTGTGTTGTTTCATTCAATTGCGCAAAATAGATGAGGATTTATATACAATATCAAAAATATACCGAGAAACAAAGGACTGCAATGTTCAAAACACAATAGCATTTAAGGAAATTGTAAGTGAACTAATGTAATAAATCTTGCAGAGAAGATAAAGTCTTTTCAACATGAGGGGACTTGCAGAAAAACATTTAAAATATGAATGCCCTCCTCAAAGGAACGCTATACTATTTTAGAGGTTTAAAGTATCAATTGCATATTTCCTCAGCTATTTCTTTATGTCACAAGTGTTCTTACAAGTTTTAGAGAAGACTGATCAGATGATATGATGTGGGTAAGGGACACATGACAAAAGACATTTTATTTCCTTTCTTTTAGCCCTCATTTGAAGCCAAAGACACACAATGTTAAAGAAAAATGACACAGTGGTGACTGAGTTTATTCTCCTGGGACTGACAGATCGAGCTGAGTTGCAGCCTGTCCTTTTTGTAGTTTTCCTAGTCATCTACCTTATCACGGTGATCGGCAACATGAGCATGATTTTGCTGATCAGAAGTGACTCGAAACTTCACACTCCAATGTATTTCTTCCTCAGTCACTCTCCTTTGTGGATCTCTGTTACGCCACCAGTGTCGCTCCTCAGATGCTGATTCATTTCTTATCCAAGAGAAAATCCATTTCCTTTCTGGGTTGCATGATACAATTCCACTTTTTCATTGCCCTGGTGATCACTGATTATTATATGCTCACAGTGATGGCCTATGACCACTACATGGCCATCTGCAAACCCTTGTTGTATAGCAGCAAGATGTCCCGATGTGTCTGCTTCTCTCTCGTGGCTACCCCTTATGTTTATGGCTTTGCAAATGGTCTGGCACAGACCATCCTGATGCTTCGCCTCTCCTTCTGTGGACCCAATGAAATCAACCACTTTTACTGTGCAGACCCACCTCTCATAGTCCTTGCATGCTCAGATACTTATGTCAAAGAAACTGCCATGTTCGTGGTGGCTGGTTTTAATCTCACCTGTTCTCTGGCCATCATTCTCATCTCCTACATTTTCATTTTCTCAGCCATTCTGCGTATCCGGTCTGCTGAGGGGAGGCGGAAAACCTTCTCCACCTGCGGGTCCCATTTGACGGCTGTCACCATCTTTTATGGGACACTGTTCTGCATGCACCTGAGACCCCCTTCTGAGACATCTGTAGAACAGGGGAAAATTGTTGCAGTGTTTTATATCTTTGTGAGTCCTATGTTAAACCCTTTGATCTATAGCCTGTGGAACAAAGATGTTAAAAGTGCAATCAAGAAAGTTGTCAAAAAGAAGTTATTTCTTGGGGCGCCTGGTGGCTCAGTGGGTTAAGCCTCTGCCTTCAGCTCAGGTCATGATCTCAGGGTCCTGGGATCGAGCCCCACATCAGGCTCTCTGCACAGCAGGGAGCCTGCTTCCCCCTCTCTCTCTGCCTGCTTCTCTGCCTACTTGTGATCTCTCTCTCTCTCTCTGTTGAATAAATCAATAAAATCTTAAAAAAAAAAAAAGAAGTTATTTCTTAAATAGACACTTTGATCACAAGTGTATATATATATATATAGGATATTTTATTATCTGACCAATTAATGAACATTTACAATTAGCAAATCACTTTCTGTCATTACGTGTTTTTTGTCTTACTTATTCACATATGGAAGTTGAGAAAAAAAGTGTCAAATTATTTGCTAATATTGATAGTTTCAGCTCAATAAATTAAAAATGACTCAGAAATTGAAAGAAAAAACCAGATGGCATTCTTAGTGCTCCATGAATTCAAGAAAGAGGGTTCCATCTATATACTCATATTGGTACTAAGTTATAAAATAATTATCAAATGATGTTATGTCAATGACTGTCTCTTTGCTTTTGTAGTTTTTAATAATTTCCAAACTAATTTCTGGAAACATCTCTACCATTGTCTGTAAGAAATTTTTCCCTTTTTCTTTTATAGAAATCATATAACAATGATTATCTTTCTGAATCTCAGATTATTACTCTAACCAATATGTAGAATTATGCTACTGGTTCAATGGTATCCTCATTCATAAGGATTCAGGTGGAATGGCAACTTTCCTTAAATAGGCTGACTTTATATCAATCATTTCCATAATAAAACTAATTTAGCAGTTTCACTTGTTAATTTTTTATTATGGACTGTTTCCAACACATATGCAAAAATAAAAAAAATAGTGTAAAGACCACCTGTACAAGCGTGAGTGATCATCATTAAGTCTTCATCTTTGCCACTTTGCTTCAGACATTTCACATACTCAGATCTTCTCAAATTGAGCCCTCCTTGCCTGATTCTGTTCCTCTCTCCATTGCCTGCATTCAACTGTCATTGAATTTAATGTTTTTATCCCTATGGAGAGTTCTAACAGTTGCTGGTGTTTATGTATTCATAGATTTAAATAATGTTATTTAGCAAGATTTAAAATTTGGTAATAATGAATTATGCTCTCCTCTTGCAAATTATTTTATTTTCAGTAAATGTGGTTAGATTCTTCCCTGCTGGTTCATGTAGCATCAGTTTTCACTGAGATAGTCTATGTGAGTGTATACACATACCACGCACTATCTATCCATTCTATTATTATTTTCTAAATGTTATTTATTTATTTGACAGAGATCACAAGTAAGCAGAGAAGCAGGCAGAGAGAGAGGAGGAAGCAGGGTCCCCACTGAGCTGAGAGCCCATGCGGGGCTCGATCCCAGGACCCTGAGACCATGACCTGAGCTGAAGGCAAAGGCTTTAACCCACTGAGCCACCCAGGTGCCCCTTTATCCATTCTATTCTTGATAAATGCATCTATTTTTCCTGTTCTGGATAATATGAAAATCTAGCAATGCATTTTCCTCTGGAATTCTGAGTGTGTACCAGTTCAAGAGATCCTCTCAGGTACACTCCCTGGAGGGTAATTTCTGTGTTATAAGAAAAGAACATCTTTAAATTCAGAGAAAAGGGCCAAATTACTCTATCCATCTGCTCTCCTGCAAACAGTGTGCAAGATTGGTCTTTACTCCGTATTCTTATCAATACTATATATTATCAGACTTGCAAAATGCTTTCAGGTCTGATGGGTTTAAGGGATTCTCCTTTCTTGTTTAAGCTTTTGCGTTGTCATTTTAAGTGGAAAGAAGTGTTTTTAAGTGCTTTGATGCTACTTGCAGAGTTTTCTTTTCTTTGGTTGTATGTCTGTATTCTTTGTTCATTTTCAGCGGGGTTATTTTATCTTTATTTTGTACATTTGTGATAGCTCTTTATAAATTCTATACTAGGTACTAGCCTTTTAATGATTTCTGCAATGTCTATATTTCAACCTGATTTTAGCTTGTACTTCGCTTTTGTGCCTGATAGACTTGGTGGGATGGATATTTTTCATTCTTTTTCTTTTTTTTTTTTAAAGATTTTATTTATTTATTTGACAGAGAGAGAGATCACAAGTAGACGGAGAGGCAGGCAGAGAGAGAGAGAGAGAGGGAAGCAGGCTCCCTGCTGAGCAGAGAGCCCGATGCGGGACTCGATCCCAGGACCCTGAGATCATGACCTGAGCCGAAGGCAGCGGCTTAACCCACTGAGCCACCCAGGCGCCCCGATATTTTTCATTCTAATATAGTTCAAATTTTAATCTTCTCTTTGTGCTTGTGCTTTGTATGTCTTGTCTAAATTCTTTCTTAATATAAAGATATTCTCTTTCAATGGCTTTACAGTTTTGCATATTTAAGTCTTTATTTTTGTTGATATCCTAAATGTTGCAAAATAATCTTTCATCCTGATTTTTAATGAAAGTGATACATTGTCTGTATCTTCAATACTGCATATGTTTCTCATTAAGGTTTTAGGGAAAATTCTGTCATGAATCAAGTTTTGGATTTGTATCAGTCCGGTTCTCTATCGTGGGACCAATCTGCCAATTCCTTCATCAATGCTGACTATTTTTATAAAAATAATTTTACCACCCTTCTTCTCGAAGTTTGAACATTGGAGAATTTTCCTGTAGGGTCTCTTACAGAAGATACGATTAAGATGCATAGAAATACTTTATTCCCCAGAGGTCATGTCTGTTATTTTCGCAGAAGGCAGGTGATACCCACTTCAATGAACCAATGGCAGTGGCTGTGAGAATGAGGAAGATAAAAAGCTATTTATAGCTTTTTCATTCACGCTGAGGTCTGTGCCCACCCTTTTGTTTGGGACTTGCGATTACAAGTGTTCCTGACCTTGGTGTTAACATATGTTGCAATCTGTTGTCAGTTCTGCATGCCATGCTCAGCTTTTCTCTCTTTTGTAAACCAGTCTAATTCCCAAACCTCACTCTGCCACATCTAGGTGTAAGTGTTCAGAAAGAACATGGCAAGAAAAGTGGGGCATTATTGTTTTTATCTCTTCAGGTAATACAGGTGGTTCATTTCTTGCTGGACAATTTGCATACTCCTCCGTATCATGATACCCTCCTGCTCACCTTTGGTGTTTTATTTTTTATTTATTTATTTTTTTAAGATTTTATTTATTTATTTTACAGAGAGAGAGATCACAAGTAGGCAGAGAGGCAGGCGGGGGTACGGGAAGCAGGCTCCCTGCTGAGCAGAAAGGCCGATGTGGGGTTGGATCCCAGGACCCTGGGATCATGACCTGAGCTGAAGGCAGAGGCTTAACCTACTGAGCCACCCAGGTGTCCCTTAACTAAGTCTTCATTAGTCATATTTGCTTAGAATAATAAAATGGTTATGGAATATTTTATTTTATTATTTTATTTTATTTTTTAAAGGATTATGGAATATTTTAATTCTGAGTACTCCTGCTTCTATATCATATGGTATCATAAAGAAGTATATAATATATGGTTGGTAATAAATTATCACTTAATAATAGGCTATTTAAATATTGTTATACATGACTGCAATTATAACTTTACTGAATATTTATTTGTTATTAATGTTCCTTTAATATTAGCCATTTTTGTCAATGACTCTCTCACTATTCCTTTTGCAACCACTTTTCATTCTGGGTCTAGTTTTCTTGCACATGACTTATACCCTTAATTATAAGTTCTCAATGACAGTTTCTGTGAGAGAAAGTCTGTTTTTTATTTGTCTGAAACTCTCTCATTTTAACTTTAACTCTCCAAGAGGAATTCATTCAGATATAGATATAGATAGAGTGGTATTTCCTTTCAATACACATAAAATATTTCATTTACTGGCCTGTATAAATTTGTTTTAGAGAGGAACATATTACTAGATTATCTGTTATTTTTCCATAGGTAAATTTTCTTCTCATTTTAAATTTGGCGTATTTTTAGTTTCAGTTTTTGTCTTTGTTGGTATTAGCTATATTTATCCTGCTCCATCTTTGGTGGCTCCTTGGCTGATTTCTCCAAGTTAGCTCTATCCTCCGAGTTTATGTTTTCTTGGTATAATAGAACTTTAATGTACAGGACTTTTCACAACTATAAGTTTACATTTGTAAGATATTTGTATCATTTATTCATGATTGTGTCATCCCCAGATTGTCAGCTCCAGAGGGCAAGGTCCATATCTGGTTTTGCTTGCTATTTTAAAGCGAGTATTTTTCCCAAACCTAGAATATAGGTGATTCTCAATAGATAAATATTGAGTTAATAAACTATCATTATGCCCTTTGCATTATAATCATTTGATGGAAAATACTACTCTGCACTACTTTCCACCATGGTCTTTATGAATCTAATGAATTGAAAACCCTACTGTGAAACTAAAATTTACATATCCTTGCTTCAGAACAGAAACTGTTTAAGGACACAAAGCTTTTCACTTTCTCTTATACTCTCTATGTTGACAGTACAGTGGTAAATACAAGGCTTTCCCTGAATGTTTTTAACCTTGTGGATGAATGAATGAATGTCAGTAAACCCACAGAATGTTTAGCATGGTGTGAGCTTGTCACATTTCTTTGCTTAACTGTCAACAATGTGGTATCAAGGACTATCCATTGGCCTGTTTGAATCCCAGGCTCACAATTTATAATTTGCTTCAACAAGGAAAAGTTTCTTAATCTCTCTTAGCCTCAGTTTCCCATCTGTTAACTGAAGATGAGAGTACCAATGCCCCATGGAGTGGTGTGAGAAATTACTGAACTAATGCTTGCAAGGTGCTAAGCCTAATACCTGGCCCACACTGAGTGTCTAATGCCTGTCACCTATGATTAATCACCCCCATTCTGATTTCTTTCCTGTGGATTCTTAAACTAATTAGTCACTGATTCCATTTCATCTCCCTACAGATTTCATGTGTGAGGAAGAAAGAAATATGTTTCATAAAACGCAAAGTTACTTGGGAGGGGGCTGGATAACGAAGATTTGTTGTGTGTTCACAGAATTAAGCATACATTTCACACTCCTTATATTATCTAGCAAGTATCTGTTGATAAGCTACCATCGTGCAGGGACTGGACTAGATGTTGAGATCACAGTCCTTGCCTGCAAGGGTTTGCAGTGTCATGGCGGCAAGAGAGATATTGGCAGGTAGTGAAACAGAGTGTGTTAGACAGGGATGGGGGCAGAGCCCTTAAAGCACATGGCAAAGCACTAAGTTCTTGGTTCTGTGTAGGCAGAGAAAGCATCTTTTGAGAGAGATCTATTTGAGCCTTTCCTATTTCTCGGAGCAACTTGAATCTGACGGGAATGAGGAAGGTGCTGAGTAGAGGGGAAGCTCAGGGAATATTGAAAGCCAGATTTGAACAAGACAAAGTGTGACTGCAGGTTGAGGTACGGCAGCTACCTACCATTGAAAAGAGAGTCCACTGCGCATGTGCAGAGGGGCGTCGAGTTCTACCCTGCCACGTGATGGTTCTGTGGCACTGGGGGTGTTAGTCCTTCACTGCTGCTTTAGTGGAGACTCTGTCTCTTCAGCTGAACATTCAGGATGGAGTCTTTGCCTCTTAGGGTTATTTTGAGGACATTTAATTACCTACATGAAAGTTGTCCACACATAGGAAGTACTCACCAAGCCATTAGCCAATACCCTGTGTTTTTCACAGTGTTACCTATGGCTGACCCTCTGCAAGCCTGTGATGTTCCTCCAGGGCCATTCTGAGAGCTCTGGAGTTTAGGGGAGAAAACAGTCTTAGTGTGAAAGAAAAAAATTGGAAAACTCAGATGATCATTAAAATTTTGAGATGGAGCGTTTCTGGTGTTCCTTCCCCAGAGATCTTAGGGCAAATAGGAAATTTAAAATGATGGAAAACAAGATCGAGGCATTTGATTAGCTTTCTGATCCCAGAGTGTCCTAATTATTCCGCAGAGGCCTGATTCCCCATGTAACACTCATTGATGTTATTCTCAAGATCTTCTGAGACTTGCTTGACGACCTGTCTGTACCTCCCACATCCTAGTATAAAGGTAGCTACATTTCATAGCCTAGAAAGGCCCCAGTGAAGTTCCTTAATCAGAAGTGAGAAAATAGGTGCATTTCAGAACGAGAAGTAAGTGTTTGTGTTTTCATGTTCTTTATTTTTAGCCAAGCGGAGATTGCAAAATGTCTCAAATTGAGGCACGGTAATTTGCACCTTGTTTGCATGAAATAAGCCCAAGCAAAGCCTTCTGTTCTCAGTTCCTGGGTTTGAACCTCAACTAATTTCCTTAAAAAACAGTCTTTGGAATTTCTATTGATCTCCCTTGATAATATTTTACAGATCTGTCACAGGTACAGAATAATAAAAAAAAAAAAAAGGCAGAAGTTCTACTCGCTGTAGAAAAACATGAGGACATTTTCAGGCATGTGTGAGCGTTTACCTTAAAATAAAGTTCTTAGACCTCGAGCCAGGGGATCTAAAAGCCCTTTACTTTTTTAATCTGTCTATCACCTATCATCCATCCATCTATCTATCTATCATCTGCCATCACCAGCTATCATCTATCTCTCTATCATCTATTATCATCTATCCTCTATCTATCAACTGTCATCTACCTATCTTCCATTTATTTATCATCATCATCTATTATCTATTTATTTATCTATGTATCTATCTATCCAGCATCACCTATCTATCTACCATCTCTCTACCATCTATCTATCTAATCATCTATCACCTATCTATTTCTTTCTATAATCATATATCACCTATCTATTTCTTTACTTTTTGGCAAGATTTTGAGTGTGTGCATTTATCCTCTTTGTGGATCCATAGTTACATTGGTTTCATTAGATTTTTATGAAATTTATATTAGAAAAAAAAAGGAGGAAGTCTAAGGACCATTCTTCCACTGAATTTTTGCTAAGCGTTCTTCCTTAACTTACTTCCTTTTCTTTTTTTTTTAATTTTCAGAAACGATATGTTTTCTCATTCTCTTGTAACTGAACAGGCTACAAAATTGATCTAGACAGCCAACCCATTAAGTCGTGTTGCCCTCTAGCACATTCTCACCAGGGCTGAATCCTTGCCTGACTTTTTCTTTTTTTTTCCTTTTCTCCTTTTTCTTCTGTTCACTTCTTCTTTTCACAGGAGTGCTATCCTCCTTCTATATCCCCATTATCAGCTCTGTTAGTCTCTGTGTTCCAGAAACACTTGGCTTCATGGGCAAGCATCTTGTGCAGTTGAACTCACCTGATTTCAGAAGCATGTTAAGCTAGGTTTCATGCCCAGCTGTCACCATCCTGAAATGCTTCATTATTTTTGAACATAGATAACTAACATTCTTATTTTGTACTGGACCCTGTTTATTAGCTAATCCTAGTTCCAGGTTTTACCACTTGCAGCTTTGTACTGTCCTTTTGCAACTCCTTTGTTGGTTCTTTCCTCATTAGTTAGGGACTTTGCTTAGTTGTAAACTACTAAAGCCACAACTTGTTCAGAAGATACTCACCTTTCACTCTAGCTTGACACAGGCTGCTGGGTTGTCTGTGATCTTCTTTCTCTGCAAAAGGACTTCTGTGCTACTTTTGAGTGGATATTTCTGGATCCCAACAAGTCACTGAGTTCATGGGTCTGGACTATTTCATATCCCACAGGCAGTCATTAAGTGATATGCAATAAATGAGTTTTTCTGCAACTGAGACTTTCAAGTCCAATTTCCTGCCATGCGTTTTATAAATCGGAAATTTTGTATGAAATCCTGATCTTTTTTTTCCTTTTTTCTCTGTCCTGGGAACACTGTCTACCCTCTTTCTAGGGTTTCCTGGGTGCAAATGAATATGAAATTACCTCCTTTGCAGCCCTTTTGATGTCATTTAAAGAAATATGCTGTTTATTTTTTTATTTTTTATTTTTTTAAAGATTTTATTTATTTATTTGACAGACAGAGATCACAAGTAGGCAGAGAGGCAGGCAGAGAGAAAGGCGGAAGCAGGCTCTCCGCTGAGCAGAGAGCCCGATGCAGGGCTCGATCCCAGGACCCTGGAATCATGACCTGAGCCGAAGGCAGAGGCTTTAACCCACTGAGCCACCCAGGCGCCCCAAGAAATATGCTGTTTAATGGGTAATTTCCTGCTAGACACTTCCGGAACTGTAGCTACAACTCTCTACTGACTTTTGTTCTGCAGTGAAGGTCATTTTTATTCTTGGTAGGAAACTCATAAGTGGAGATGAATCAGGCTTCCAAAGAAGTGAATCATTTACATTTTAGGGAACATCTAAGCAGGGACTTTTGCACTCCTCTGCATGAAACCTGTACACATACACACATCCTTAGCAGTTCCAAAGAAAGATCACATATGGTGCCTTTGTCTCCATTCTTTATTCTTCCTAGAATACCTCCTTAAAATAAGTTCACTGCTTGTGCTCATCCTCCTTCAGTTTGTTGCTAAAAAAAGTCACCTTTTCACAAGTACTTCAGTGATGTTACTATTTAAAAGTTGAACACCCTCTCCACAAAACTCCATTTGCTTTCTTTTTTTCTTTATTAAAATTTTTATTTTATTTTTTCAGTGTTCCAAGATTCACTGTTTATGCACCACACCCAGTGCTCCATGCAATATGTGCCCTCCTTAATACCCACCACCAGGCTCACCCAACCCCCCACTCTCCTCCCCTCCAAAACTCCATTTTCTTAATTTTTCTCTCTAACACTGCCATTTGAATCATCATTTACTTAGTTGCATTCTTCTTTGTCTCTGTCTACTAGATGCGAATGCTAGAAGGGCAGGGATTTTTGAAGGTTCTGTTCATTTTGGCATCTGCAGGGTCTTATCCACATGATGTGTGGAGTATCAATAAACACTTTATGAACATCTAGTTTGATGTCCACAATGACCTTAGGGGCAGGCAAAACAGATGTTCTCATTCCCATTTACAAATGAGGAAATGAAAACTCATGCTTAAGGATCCTTGGTCATTATCAGTAGATGTTACTAGTGCATTCAACAAATGTTAAGTACTTACCCTTCTGGATAAAGGAGATAAAGCACAAAAAGACACTGTCATTGGCTTTCTAAAGCTTAGACTAAACTAAGTTTCAGTGACTCATTTTGAAATGAGATAAGAATCGGGCAAGTTTTTTTAAAAAATTGAATATGAGAGAAGGGAGAAGGCAAAAAAAGGCATTTGAGAGGAAGGAAGAGGAAATTCAACACCAGTAATGTTGTAAAGGAGAGCTAAAAAAGCCATGGGGATTGTCATACCTATAGATAGAAAGAAGTTGTGATTAACAACATAAATACTGACAATGCAAAACTTGTTTCTTTATTGGCACATTATATCATTACTGTAGACTGTTTGTGAAATACTGAGTGAGAATTAATGTGACTTGATGATTCTTTGTTCATTTATTTGCCATAAGTTTACGAAAACTCTATGACTTTTAAAATTGTGAATCTGGGAACATCTACTTTATAATCTCCTGGGTAATTTTTACATATGAAGATACCCATATCCCACATAAGAGGTTCTTAAACAAACTTTCTGTGACTTTTCTTGATTAAGAAGCTTTCTAAGAAATATCTTTGTACATTAAAATTCAAAAGCTCTTAATTCTCCTAAGGACATGCTGTCATGTCAAGCTCCATGGGGATACGGAGATGAGTAAAACACTTATAAGTAATTCATTTTTCATGCTTACCCTATTTTTTCTTTTAATTTTAAAATTCAGTACATAAAAAGTACTTAGAAGTCAGAGTACACAGGGCATCTGCGCGGCTCTGTTGGTGGAGCATCCAACTCTTGATTTCGGTTCATGTCATGTCTCAGTGTTGTGGGATTAAGCCTCCCCATCCAGCTCTGAGCTCAGCACAGAGTCTGCCAGAGATTCTTTATCTCCTTCTGCCCCTCCCCCATTCCCCCCCCCACTCACACACATTCTCTCTAAATAAATAAATAAAATCAAACAAACAAACAAAATAAATAAATAAATAAATAAATCATGGTGCAATAATGAGCTAGACTTTGTCCCTGCCCCTGAGGAAGGAGTATTTGAGGAGTGGAAAGTAGACACATTATGGTGATGTAATGTGCTACAGAATGAATGAGAAGTAGGCAGCTTGTGCTGGAAGCATAAAACATACCAAGCCTTGTAGGATAAGTAGAGTTTGAGAAGCCAAAAATATTGCAGAGAAAAAGAGGATATGTAGCTCAGTTGTATATATGGATATAGGAATAGATATAAATATTGTTATCCTTAGGTATAGCTATAGGTATAAATGTAGGTGTCTATATAGAGAAATATAATAGTAATTCAATACAAAGACAAATGAAATAATGAATTAGTAGAAGTACAGAATCTGTTTAGGGTAGTATAATATGAATGATACATGTAGATACTGAGAAAAATCATTGTAATAGTCAGTAATATGATTTGTACCTTCCTGTCTCCTTCATTTCTATTGTTTCTAGCACAGGTCCAGACTCTGAGAAAATGTCCATCACAAATGAGAGTGCAATAACAGAATTCATTCTCCTGGGGCTTACAGATAGCCCCGAACTCCAGCCTCTCCTCTTTGTGCTGTTTCTGGGTGTGTACCTCGCCACCCTCTTAGGCAACCTGGGCCTGATATTATTGATCAGGCTGGACTCTCACCTTCACACGCCCATGTACTTCTTCCTCACTAATTTGGCCTTTGTAGACTTGTGCTACACCTCAAATGCCACCCCGCAGATGTTGAGTAATTTCTTGTCAGAGAAGAAGACCATCACCTTTGCTGGCTGCTTTACACAGTGTTACATTTTCATCGCACTTCTCCTCACTGAGTTTTACATGCTGGCAGCAATGGCCTATGACCGCTATGTGGCCATATGTAACCCTTTGCACTATAGTATGAAAATGTCCAGGCGCATCTGCATCTGCTTGGCCGCATTTCCTTATGTCTACGGCTTCTCAGATGGGCTTTTGCAGGCCATCCTGACCTTCCGCTTGAGCTTCTGTAGATCCAATGTCATCAACCACTTCTACTGTGCTGACCCACCACTCATTAAGCTTGCTTGCTCTGATACTTATGTCAAAGAGCATGCCATGCTCATATCAGCTGGCTTCAACCTCTCCAACTCCCTCAGCATCATCCTGGTGTCCTACGCCTTCATTATTGCTGCCATCCTCCGGATCAAATCAGCAGAGGGAAGGCACAAGGCATTCTCCACCTGTGGTTCCCACATGATGG